GATGCTTTTTTAATGGGTTTTGCACACCTCTGTTACACATGCTTTCTGTTGATGAAGCTCAGCCAACTTACCATCTAGACCCTTTGAAGCAGGTGTTCTGGGTTGGAATCCTGGCTCCCCTTCTTGCTTGCTGATAGCATGGATTTCCTCCTCTGTGAAGTGATGATACCATAGTCTTCCTTGTATGGAGTTTGTCTGAAGACTTGGAGTCTAGAATAGTGTTGCTGTTCTTAGTTGAAAAGATTTGGTCTTCTCATTGTGGAATTAAAGCAACCAGAGGTGATGGAGAACAGCAGAAAGGAGCAAGTTGGTAATCTACAAGAACTTGAGCACTGCTGCTGTTTTGGCTTAGGTTTTGTCAGAGCTAGGCCTCGCTCTGAAAGGTCCCATTTCTTATGTTCCTCAAATAATTTTTCTTTCTTGCGTAAGAGCAGAAACTTGGGTTTCTTGGTGGAGCGAAACAGTGAGGCCGTTCAGTGGGGTCACTGGTTCTTTTTACTTCAAACCCTTCCCCCCACTCTTTGTTAAGGGCTTGGGAAGGAGGGGTGAGCAGTAAGAACACAAGCCAAAAACAAATGGAAGAAACCAGTCTTAGTTTTAAAGTGTAGTCTTTAAAAAGAACAAAGGCAGCTCAGGAAAAAGACCTAGCACTGATGTCTCTGAACGTCAGTCACCTGTTCCGCCCACTCTAATTATGTCGGAAGCCACTGTGTTTGGTGAAAGAGTGTGTAGAGCTACCAAATAGGAGGAGTTGGAAAGCCCCAAATCTCAAATCCACCGTCTTGAGGAGAGAGAGGGTTTGGGGGTGCTTATGGATAGGGAGCTCTGAGGTGGGGAGAGAGGTCTGCGAGGAAAATGAAGCAGTTGGCCGCCTGCACAGAACACAGTAGCTATTTAGAGGAGTATTTGATCCTTTGTAGCAAGTGGTCACTCATCCAGCCCCTGGCATGCCAGGTAATGAGTCACTGGCTTCAACTGGTTTGAGCTAGACACATTTTGGACAAATTCCTAGACAAATTTTAGATCCCTGAAAACAAGGTGACTAGTTGCACAGTAGTTAGCACACTTCGGCGTGTTGCGCCAGGAAACTAGCAGAGGCCCATTTCTTTCTTTCTTTTCAAATGAATTCATTTTTAAAAATTTCATGTGCATTGGTGTTTTGACTGCATGTATGTCTGTGTGAGGGTGTCCGATCCCCTGGAACAGGAGTAACAGACAGTTGTGAGCTGCCATGTGGGTGCTGGGAATTGAACCCGGGTCCTCTGGAAGAGCAATCAGTGCTCTTAACCACTAAGCCATCTCTCCAGCCCCTAAGGCCTATTTCTTTACTGCAGAGCTGAGTAGCTTCTTTTGTTAATATAATATTTTTATTAATTCTTTGAGAATTTCTTCCAAGTCCTCTAAGATTCACCATTTCCTACACACCCACCTCCTCCATTTTCTTTTCTTTTCTTTTCTTTTCCTTTCTTCTCTTTTTTAGAAGATGCTATCTCTAGACATATGTTCTAGTCCTCTGGCTCTTACAAGCTTCTAACATCAGTGAAGAGTCAGCCAAGCATAGAAGCTGAGGGAGGAAGACCAGTGTGGGTTTAAGGCCAGCTTGGTCTCTGTAGTAACTCCCAGGACAGCCAAGGGCAACGAGCTAGAATCAAGTGAAATCAGATGGTCGATTCAGGTTCCCCTTCCGTTTCAACACCAGGAATTACTTTTTCTTTTGGGGTCTTAAGAAAATGGGCTACTCCTAATACATTCCCACAGCCTCACTACACCTAGGCCAGCACTGGTCCCTGGCCACATGGATAAATCGAAGAGGGAGCCTGCTCAGTTTGCTGGAAATGAACCCTCCATTATCCTGCCTCTAACAATGGCATAGACTTTTAGAGATAGTTTGCATAACGCTCAGGCACAGAGGTGACTGAGAGTCCCAGGTAAAAGCCCCATTCTGGCCTTCAGTTGTGCTCTGTCCACACGTGTCTTAGCACACATAAAGTGCCCTAGTCATAACCACTGAGGCATATACATAGACACTCAAGCAGGCACCACCTAAATCTAGAAGAGAAACTTTTCCATCTTCCTTGCACATACCATAGTGGCCATGTGGCCCCTCAGCTGGTTCCTTCCCCAGGGCAACTGCCAGTCTGGCTTCTGACACCAGAGGCAAGCTACGTGTCAGACTTCACAGAGATGAAAGGCTGCGGGAGGCTTGTTTATTGTGCCTCTTTCCCAGCCAGTGGCATCTGGGAGTTTCCCATACTGCATGTGTGCTTCCTCCCTGAATCAATGTTTCCCATTGTCCGAGTTCCATTGTAGTATACCATGGTATGAATGCATCCCGTGTAGCCGTTCTGCAGGACCAGGCTTTGGGTTCTTTCCAACTTGGAGCAATAATGAAAAGCACTGCTGCGAACATTTTTGTGCATTCCTAATTAATTATTGGCAAGACCCACCCACTTCCTTGGTGGCCTGTTCCGCCAAGGTGCAGGAGACTGATGTTCATGAATGCTGCTTTCGGAACTCTTGATGGAGATAAACAAACTAGTCAGTGCTTGCCTTGACATTGAAAATAAGAGCTCACTTACTTGGGGGTAGGAGAAGGGTATGGCTCAGTGGTAGGACACTTGCTTATTAGGCTCAAGGTCCTGAGTTTAATCCTTAGCACACCAAAAAAAGGAGAGAGGAAAAGGCAGTGATTTACCTTGAAAAGCTGTCTGAGTGCTTGTTCCGAGCAGTCGTGTCACCTCCAGCAAGCCATTAGATATTTATGGACTTCTTCAGCTGTAAAATATGCATAGCATAGTATTAATAATGTTATGCAAAAGTAAGGAGCTGTTGCAAGGATTAGGTTATAATTAAGCAGAGTGTTTGGATAGGGCTTACCTCATTTAAGCACTCAGTTGCTGCTGTTGACTTTTTTATGGTAATGAGCATACAGAGTAGAGTCACAGCAGCTATGGCATCGCACAAGTTTATTAATACAACCAAGTGACCTGTTGGATGTCTCCTGTGAGATGAAAGTGTTGCTCTGCTTTTCTTCTTACTTTTAACCCCTTCCATTTTGATCTTTAATTATATGGAGCTCTATCTTTTAACAACAATAGTTTGTGGAAGTGGAGGAACAAAGGAAAACCTAGGCTGAGGAAGTCTGATCGCTTTAGGACCACCATTAACCTCTAGACTCAGGTTGTTCCATGATTTGCACATCTGGCTTAAATTATCTGCCCCCCCCCCCGACTTCTAGCAATAGATAGTAATCTGAATTTAGTATGAGCTGACCCAATATCAAGAATTCCAGAGGCCAGAGAAATAATCCAGCTCTTTCCAGTCTTAGAAATAAGTGGCTCTTTGCACTTGCAAAGTGGAACCACATTAGTGTCATGTATCAGAGAGTCACCACAGTAGAACTCAGGCAGGATTGATGAGAACTGTGGCATGGGAGAGGAAAAAGTTGGCACTGAAAAAGCGGATAATTTATCATTGGAGAAGTTACAGAAGCACAGAGTATCAGCACTGGAAGCTATTCCATTGGGTGACCATTCAAAAGAGGGAAAAATAACTCCACCCACACCTAAAAGTTTCCCTAGCTGCGTTTAAGCTTTCCATTTTGAAATAGTATCAGACTTACAAGAAAATTGCACAAAGAATACATGGAAATGTCCTGCCTCTGCCCCAGTCCTCAGTGTTAGCCCTCTGCCACAGTTGCCTTGTTCTTCTTTCTGTCTATACTCACTTGCATACACATGTACCTTACTTGTTTCTGAACCTTAGAGGGTCCATCACAGGTGTTATGTCCCCTTTGCCCCAATATTTTGTTGTGTTTCCTAAAAACAAAGCTACCTATTGCAAACTACAGTATAGTTAGCAAGCTTGGGGGAGAAAGACAATATTGAAGCTGTGTTTCTGCTGAAGGGCTCTAACAGATGTGCGCATAGCAAACCTGGTGCCAGCAAGCCTCATCCTTTCCCCTTCCCTCTCCTCTGTAAGCCACAGTAACATCCTTAAAGCTAGCCACCAAGGTCTGTTCCCTTATTTGGACACTTTCTTATGCCAGGCTTGTTCCTGAGGCCAATAACCAAGTCCAGCTATCAAAGTACTGGAGTCCAGAATTGAAACCCCCTTTGGTTCATTGACATGCCCAAAAACATACCACCGCATCCCAGCCCATTCAAACATAGATATCCCCGTTTTTCTTTTAAACACCACACCTGCAAGGTCATTTGCTGCTGTTTTCTGCCTAAGTCAGAAAGCAGCTGCTTAACTTTTCTTCCCCACTTAATCTGTCTGTGAAAATAACTGTTTGGGTGTAGTTTGTGCCTAGTTCCAGGGAGGGGGACAGGTTCAGGAGGGAGCACCCCACTGTGTGTGGGCCCCTTCAGTTACCAAAGCTGCAGGCAGTATTCGGAGTTCACCTAAGGCCCTACTAATGTCCGCTGTTGCAAATGAAATGAAGTTTTGGCTCAGGACCCAAACCAAAAACTCACACCCTCCATATTAGAAAGCCCTTTAGATTAGCCAGCTGGCCTGGCACACACAGCAGTGGACAACAAAGAAGAGACCGTGCCTCAGATAAGGTAGGAGCTGAGACTGGACCCCTGAGGTTGACCCCTGACCTCCATTCCTGCCCACCGTCACTCACACATGAATGCATACACATATACTTTTAAAAAGGAAGAAAATCCTGTCAGATAACATATAAACAGGAGCGGGCGGTGGAACACCTGGGTCAGAAGAAGGTCTCCTGAAATAGTTGCTTGAATGCAGGGAGATTAGCATAAACCCACTTAGTTTATTGTGTGCAAGGAAGGTGTTATCAGGGAAGGCTAGCCTTAGCCGTGTGAGTCACGGCTCTGCCTGTAGTCTGTTGGGTGCTAGACATCCTGCTGATGTGTTTGCTCTCTCCTCCAAAGGCTGTGTAGAGGCACAGACATGCACCCTGAGGAAGCACCAATTGCAGCCGTTCTCTCTTCAGACAAGTGGTCACCGTAGCTTTGTTTTCTTTGCAGATGTGGTGTTGGAGAAGGCCATGCACAAATGCATCTTGAAGCCCCTCAAGGGCCACGTGGAGGCCATGCTGAAGGACTTCCACACAGCTGACGGCTCGTGGAAACAACTCAAGGAAAACTTACAACTCGTGCGGCAGAGGAACCCACAGGAGCTGGGGGTCTTTGCCCCAACCCCTGACTTGGTGGAGCTGGAGAAAATCAAGCTGAAATTCATGACCATGCAGAAGATGTACTCACCAGAAAAGAAAGTCATGCTTCTGCTGAGTGTCTGCAAGCTCATCTACACGGTCATGGAGAACAACTCAGGTGAGGGGACTTCTGAGGGAGCCCAGCATGCCCTCAGTCTCTCAGTTTCACTGAGCAGCCTGTAGAAATGCAGATGCAATGGTGGGATTTGTTAAGTGGGCCTCATGCATCAAGAGTCATATAACAGATCGTCAGCGAACATGGATAAGGACAAAGAGTCAGAGTTGCCTACATTGCTGACTTAAAGAGTTAGTGTTTACGAATTCATTATCCTCCCTCTGCTGGATAAGTTTCTTTGCTGAGGTGCTCTGGCCGCCTTAATTTTCTACCTGGCAGTTCCCTATCTGTTGTTTCCTGTGACCCTCTCCTTCCTAATGTGAGAATCAGGTGAGGCAACCCATTCTGAAGCCCAAATGCAATGGGAATATTAGTGAGAACCTTTGCCACACTCTGTCCCATGAGCACTTATGCTGATAATCTACAGCACGAGCATGAGAAATCTGGAGTGTTTGGTAAGAGTGAGGATGAAGTATTGTGATCAGAATTCATCAAAGAATTGCAAAGTGGAAAATAAGTCTTCTGAACTCACCTGGCTCTTTCCTAAAGATGCCGATGAACCCATTATTCATGGGTACTAACTGAGCCCGCCCTACTCCAGGCCTTCAGAAAGCTTCCTGTAATACAGTGGGCGATGGCCAACTTTTTTCTTGACAGAAATTGCCTTAGCAACAGAGAGAATCCACAGACTCTGTTACCCATGCTGGAGTAGACAGGAATGTGTGTGCATTGCAGACTCCTGAGTGAGGGCCTTAACCACTGAGCTCTTGGGACCAGGAAGATGGTTCAACAGGCAAACCACTTGTCAGGCAAGCATAAAGGCCAGAGTTCAGATCCCCAGCATCCACGTAGATGCTGGGTGCGTATGTGTGGTTGCCTACCCATAATCTCACACTTGGGAGGCAGAGAAAGGGTCTCCCAGGATCTTCTGACTAGCTAGAATAGCCAAATAGGTGAGTTCCAGGTTCAGTGACTGCCTCAGGAAATGCAGAAGAGGGCAATTGAGGAAGACACCCAATGTGATCCTCTAGCCTCTATGTGGCTGCACGCATGGGCATGCACACCCACACACTTGGTAGCACACGCACCCCAGGCCCTCGACCTGTTTGCCAGCCTGTTTGGAGGCCCATCTCTGTAGTTCCTGAGATCATTTATGAAAACTCAGATGACATTGCTCCACAGCATTGTGTCTCCGCCTGCACACTGGTGACGTTTCAGACATGCTCATCCTCACTGCGTGGGCTCTCCTGCTTCCTATGGGGAAGGCCAGTAGCATCCTGGATATCATCTAGATGCCTAGATGCCATCACCCTCCGGCTATGATCATGAAAAATGTTTCCAGATAGTGTCAAGTGTGCTCTCCGTCAGCAAAGTCACCCCGGTTAAGAATCACCATTGCAAACAACACAAGAAATAAAGACCTCCCCATATATCGCTGTCAGTCAGGTGTTATCATCAACATACTGAATTGCTATCATCAACACACATTTAAATAAGTCAAACAAATAAGATGAACGCTGAGCAGAGAACAGTTCTCTTTTCCCCTGGCTTAAGTTTGGTCTGTCATTACATTTGTGATAAATGTGCACAGGACACAGTAAATAAGCCAGAAAGAATTAGCCTAGGACGTATTTGATTGAGGGCTTACATTATGCCTTGCTAATGGTTTCAAACCCTTAGAGACACACTGTTCCAGCACACAAATCTTAAAAATAAACCGTGTTGACTGCCTGTGAGACGCTTATCCTGAGATTGTGAGCAAGGGCTGGTCACAGCAAGCAGTGGGGAGAGTCAAGGGCCACGTAGGTAGAATTCCAGAACCCCCCACGCCTGCTTGTAAGTAGCACATTTCCCGAGCATGACTCCTTGGTGGCTAAGAAAAGCAGCAAATAGGATGTGAAGGAAGGAAACTGATAAAAATACCCTATCTTGCCCCCTCTTCCTGATCCCAGGGAGGATGTACGGTGCGGACGACTTCTTGCCAGTCCTGACCTACGTCATAGCTCAGTGTGACATGCTTGAACTGGACACTGAAATCGAGTACATGATGGAACTCCTGGACCCGTCCCTGCTGCAGGGAGAAGGTAACGTGCTCTTGAGTGTGTCAGAGGAACGAGGAGGCCACGATTGTTGGGGAGGCGGGGCAGTTGGTGGGGCTCACACATTTTAAATTTGAGATGCAATTCATGGAATGTAAAGTTAGCCATTTTGAAACTGGGCATGGTGGTCCACACCTGTCATCTCGGCATTTGGGAGGTTGAAACAGCAAGATTCTGAGTCCCAGACCGGCCTGAGCTACATAGCAAAGACCTGTCTTAAAAAGCACAGTGAGGGCTGGGGAAAAAGCTCACCCAGTGAAGAGATTTGGGGCCTGATTTCAAGCCCTAGCAGGCACATTAGAAAGCTCAGCATGATGGTCCAGATCACAGTCCCAACACTGGGTAGACAGAGGCATGCTGGGCAGCTGGGCCAAATCAGTGGCCAAGGAGATAACAGGTCTTAAAAACAAAGTATATGGCATCTGAGGAAGAATACCCAAGGTATCCTCTGGTATCCTCTGGTATCCTCCTTTATATGCGTGTGTGTGCCCAAACACTACACACACACACACACACACACACACACACACAAACACAGGTGCTTGACACCTCACTGGTTAATTGTAGGAAGTTGTTTTTTTAATTTAAAACTATGCACTACTCTGGGTGTTTGGCTGCATGCTTATAATCCTAGCACTTAGGAGGATCAGAAAATTCAAGGCTATCCTTGTCTAAATAGTGAGTTTGAGACCAGCCTGGACAACATGAGACCCTGTTCCCCCAAATGAAATACGTACTGTATTGACTTTTTAAAAATTACAGTAGTAGTGATTCATTATAGAAAAATCAAAATTAAAAAAGAAAAAAAATGCCAAAAAGAGAGAGAAGAAAGTGCAACCAGTCCTGACAAAAATTTAGTTTAGTAGACTCAAACATTTATAGAATATCTTTTTTCTTTTTCCTTTTTTTGGTATGTGGTTGGTTCATTTGTTTGTTTGTTTGAGTACTAGTGACTGAACCTAGGGCATTATACATGCAAGCAAGCAGCCAGCCAGTCCCTGAGGTACAGCCCTTGCCCTTAGACTATCATTTTAAAAAACAATAGGGATTCTTTTATTTAGGAAGTTTCTGCTGATTTTTTTTTAATTAAAGAATACTTACATGCTAGAAAAAAATAACCTGCTCTTGTTATCACTGAAATCAATGAAAAACTGGCCATAAAAAAAAAAAAAAGAAAAGAATTGTTGTTTTAAACATGAACAGCATTAGTTTGCTTCCCATTTAATTTACCTCAGTGTCCAGGTTCAGTCTTGTCCTGCGTGTGTCTTAGCCGAGGAAATTCTTTCTCCTGTATCAGTTAGAGGCTATATAATGAAAATCTTTGGATGCTTGACTGTGCAGCTCACAACCTTGAAAGGCAGTGAGACCTGGGATTCTCCTGCCAACTGGTCATTCTTGAAGGAAGCAAATCAAGGCCTATATGCCTAACAGTTAATCATTTTCAGAAGTCCCTCAGGTACCCAGACAGACCCTGAGGGTGCAGCTGTGTTTTCTCTGTTTCTGTCTAGTTTCAGTCTGGGCTTGAGCACAAAGGTCTGCTTGCCCTCAGGATTCCCCAGGATATGCGTCACCTAGGAATCTCCCATTGGAGGGAATTAAATGCATTGTTGTCCCCAGCATGTCCTTTAATGTCCTCCATCCTCTAAGCTGAATCTGTCAGCTTGGTTTTCTCCATCAAAGACCTGTTCTCCCTAGTCCCTAAGACCTCCCTTCCAGATCTTTCTGGTCAGTGCTAACTTGGGATAAGTGTCCTCCATCCTGTGCCCAGGCAGAGATAGATATGAATGAGCGATTCCAGCCTTTATCTCTCACTGGTATCCTCTCAGTGAAATTCTCCTTCCAGAAACGCAGATACTTCATTAGGAGCTCACGAGACCCGCCATGTCTCTTCGCTTTCCTGGGATTGCGCAGGAGCGAACACTAGTGCGGCTTTGTCCGGGCATGGAGGTAGACATTTGTAAGCTCCAGTCTCAAGCCTTCCCTCTGCCCACTATGTCATTATTGCACTTTGGGTTTCTTTTGGTGGTTTCTGGTAGCAAGAAGACCCCTTGAGGTTTTGAGGAAAAGAGTGTGTCAGTCTCTGTTAGAAAAATCACCCTTCTGTATCGACAATGTGTACTTAAGATGCTTACGTCTTGTGGTCTGAGGACAGAGACAACCATTTCCTGCCCCTTTTCCTGGCAGTGCCTCAGAGTGAGGCCCTGTGTTTCAAGCCTGTCTTCTTAAAGGAGACCGTCATAAACCCTGCGTTGTGATGCTAGGCAGGACCATCTTCACCTGCAGGCACCTCTGTGAGGAACAAACAAACAAACAAACCAGGGCGTGCTGACATATGAACAGCCTGTACGTGAACTGTGTCAGTCCTCTGCATGAACTGTGTCAGACACTGCTGCCTTCCTTCCTTGGGAGAGCATGGCCCGGGAGGCTGCCTGTGGCTCTAGGCTGTGCGTCAGAGCATTGAACTGCCATACTTCGAGGAGCTGCGGTCACGCGTCCCAGATCCATGCTTTCTGTGGCCTGTCCAAAGCTCTCTTAGGCTGGCTTTACAGCAGTCTCGTGTCTTTTCTGCTGTGTCAGCAGGCGTTCTCCATTACAGAGCCAGCACCATCGATGCCCTTGCAAGCTCAGAGTTCTTGCTTGCGGAGGGGTGTAGTTTTTCTGAAATGTAAAACCTTCCTCTAATCGTATCCATATGTCTCAGAGTGTGGTCGATTCTGTGTTTCCAGTGTTTGAGGTTTTTCTCCTTAGTGGTCTGAGCACATCAGGGCCATGGAGTCAAATTCAGAGTCCAAGGATCCCTTATCACCCCAGAGGGATTGCAGCCCCTGGAGCCACAGCTAACGGCTGACACCAGGACGCCGTCAGGTTCGACCCCTGCAGCCCTGTAGATCCCCCCAAACACCACTGCGGCGTTCACACACTTGATCTAGCACTTCACACTGAGTCATGATGATTTGTTCACGGGGGCAAATACTAACTAAAGATTAATAATTCATAGCAGAGGCTGCTGCAGAGATCTTAAATCTGGGATGGTGGAGTCAGGAAAACTAAACAAAGAGGCTGCTGTGGGCTGACAGGGGTCAGGGATGTGGCTAGATAGAGCAATTACCACGTGCACAACAGGCCACGTACCACAAAGCACTGCAAAGAAAGAGAGAGGAAAAACCTCTCTATCCATGACTGCAGACAAGGCCGCTTTGCCAAGTTCAAGTCCAGGGCCAGTTCACAGGCCCCTAGCCATGCTCCTGAGAGGTGAAACTGGCTCAGCCCTGCACATTGGTCAGAGAGAGTTCTACAAGGCCCCATGTGCACAACTAAAGGCTTTGTGCTGAAAACAGCACTTTTTCCTCACTGAACTCGCTGAACTGTATTGAACTTCTGGTCTATGCATGAACCAGTTGTCATGTCTGTTTTCCTTAATGTGCTTCCACTACTTGGGTACAGGGATTCAGGTCCTTTTTCTTATGATCTCCCTCCCCCCAACTCCATCTTGAGCACATAGTAGAACCTCAATGGATATTTTGACACAGAATGACTTTAAGTACAGAGTGCACTGTACTCAGAGAGTTCTTCCCACACAGTCCAGGCGACCCCTAGTGGCTCTCGAGCACATTTACAAATTTAGTAAGCAATGAATTATTTTTAAGACAAACCTAGGAAAACGCATAGATGTCTCACAATCTCATTTGTCTGTTAGCACCTCACAAAAACACGAGAGATTAATTTTAAGGGCACTCGCAGAGGGTCACCCTTGTTACAGGCTCGTTAACATGTAAATAATTTTTCTTAAGTGTGGGAACAGAAATGGTGTCAGCTTTTTGGTGTTCCCCGGCTCTGGCATAGGCTGGGGTCACTCCATAAATCTGTGTGAGATGAGTGCATGAGTAGAAGGATGAGGATGTGAGTGATGTGCTATTTTCTGGGTACCTCTGTGGACAGGGTGGAGAAATCGCCCTCTCCTCCCACGTGAATAGGTTCTGCACCTGAGAATTCAAACAATCCTAGGCTGTTAATATGTAGGGAAAAAATGAAGTGAACATATATGAACTTTGGGGGCTGGAGAGATGTCTGAGTGGTTAAAGCACCATCTGTTCTTCCAAAGGACCCAGGTTCAATTCCCAGCACCCACATGGCTGCCCATAACTGTCTATAGCTCCAGTTCCAGGAATTCTGACATCTGCATACCAATGCACATAGACAAAAATTAAATTAATTATTTTTTTAAATACACAAACTTTTTCATTGTTCTTTTTAAAAAAATTCTTTGTGTAGCACTTCTATTGTATGGGATATTATAAGTCATTTGGTGATGATTTAAGATTTACAGGCGTGTTACGCAGAGTATATGCAAACACCGTGACATTTTTAATGAAGATTTAAGCATCTGTAGATATAGGGGTTGGGTCCTGGACTCCATCCCGTGGGGATACCCTGAGACAAGTGGACACAACATGCTGCCAACATTAGTGCATCCGGTGTCATCACCAGTGTGAGACTCTTCAGGACCCATTCTCCTTGCCCTTGCAGGAGGCTATTACCTGACGAGCGCCTATGGAGCCCTGTCTCTGATAAAGAATTTCCAGGAAGAACAGGCTGCGAGACTGCTCAGCTCAGAGGCCAGGGACACCCTGAGGCAGTGGCACAAGCGGAGAACCACCAACCGAACCATCCCCTCCGTAGATGACTTCCAGGTACACACCCAAGTCCCGACCATGCTCCCCTGTCTTCTGGGAGGGCAGAGCTGTCCCCTGCAGCACCTGGGCTCAGAGCCTGAGCTCTTACAGTGGCTGAAGCACCTGGTGGAAAAGGAATCAGTAAGCCACCCCCTGGCCTCGCTGCTTCACCTCTGTCTCTTTAAACGTGAACACAGATGCACCTCAACTTTCAGTGGGCCTCGTCCCCTTTGACTGCACTCCAAGAGAAAAGTGCATCAATTGTGTCTAGCCCACCAAATATCCTAATGTAGGAAGACAGTGGAGTACAGTGGGGGAGGATCTTGTGGCTGATTGGCAGTGCCAGCTCGTCTATGTTGCCCAGCTTCGTAAGGAGGATGGTATCAAATATAGCCAGCCTGGGGAGAGGTGCAGGTTCAAAGCCTGGCTGTTGGTGTAGTTCAGTGCTAGACTGGGTTGCATCCTACCACTTACAGAAAAAAATTGGAAGTCAAGGTGTAGTTCCTACTCAGTTGATTCACTTTAGCACCAACATTAATATAAATATAATTATTACCATATAAAGTAAGCTTTGGCTTACAGCTGGCTGCTATTAGGACAAAAAATAAAATAAAGTTAAATTAAAGCCCAAAACGTCCAGCCTCCTGCTAAATACCTAACCCAACAGGATGTCGAAAGGAGAAAGCCCAGGAAAAGGCATTGGTTATCCAGTTTCCTTAGCAAACAGCTTACCCCTGGATGCCCTTTAGGAAGTCAGGGAGGTACAACAAGATATCTTTCCACCTCTTCTTCTGCCCTTTCCTCTCTCATTCCCCAAACAGAATCCCTTGGAGTCTCAGCCTAGCACTTAGGGAAACGTGTCAGTCTGAGAGTGAACACTGTAGCCAGGCCCCTCTGACATTTCCAGCCTGTGCTGCTGGGGAATGTATGGTTCCCAATGAGTTTATTCCCTGGAGGGGAGCAGGGGCTACACGGGCCTTTCCCTGACCCAGCAACCCCTGATTTACTTCTGGCTGTGCAAGGATTAACCAATCTGCAGCTATCTTTGGACAGTCATCTGACAAGCTCTGTGATCCTCTGAAGCCCAGTGGTCTGCATGAGCTAAAACACTTACCACATGGAGGCTCTTTGTAAAGGCCATGCAGCAGCAGGCTCCCCAGCAGGAACCTTAAAGGCAAGATGAGTTTGCCTCCGTGTCCAGATTCACCTTCTTTGCATGTCTCTCCCACTTCTTGTTGCTCTGAAAACAACCGTTGGTTCAAACTCAGCCCATGCTTGAAAAGCAAGGTCAGCATGTTCTTCTTCAAGATCGCAATTTTCTCAGAAATTCCTTCCAGACACATAAACTACAAAGCAAGAACACATGCTGTGCCTCCCCCCGCCACACACACACACACCCCTGCTTGGCGTGTTCAAGAGCATCCACGTGGTAAGTGTTTTAGGTCATGCAGGCACTGGGCTACTGCTGTGTAGGCTCTGCAAGGAGGAGCTCCTCAGAGATTGGAGGAAATGGAAAAGTAACATCTCCCTTCAACAGCCTCTCCTGTTTCACTGCTGCCCACCAGAATCCTCTAAGCTAGAGCCCTTTGGCCCACAGACAGCACAGAGTCTATCATGTCACCCACACCTTTCCCACTAGCCTCATTCACTTTAAAGATGCATGTCTTCTCACAGACACCCAAGGAAGAGAGTTTGAGCACTCGGCTCATGAACGAAAACAAAAATACAGAAATGGAACTCCAGTACCAAAGGTCACAGACACAGACACCCCTAATACGTCCTTCTACTGCAGGAAAAGTGCTCCTTTGTAGCTAACACGTGCTGAGTGGGCCTCAGTTTCCCTCACTGGAGCTGTGTAGGCTACTCTCATAGTTCTCTTCCTTGAGCAAATGCAGAGTCCTTAAGCAAATGCAGAAAGTGCTGGCAGGGATGGGAGGGGTGCGGTCTGGTGGCGCATACTCTGAATACAGATGTTCACATCTGAGAGTATGGCACTCCACCTGACTGCCACCTGACCCAGCCTCCCCTCTGCCGAGTCCTCAGGCTGGCCAGTGTCCTCCCTCCGTAAGACATGAGACATCTTACAAGTCCAGAGACCGCACCTCTTCCCAAGAGCCTCCATTCCTGTATGCCAGCTAACGGTATGGCAGCCCCAGGAAAAGCAAGGCTGAGCCTTTTGCAGCCTCTCAAACCCCAGATCTAAGAAGCAAAAAAATGTGTGTGTTCTCTAGATGGAGCTAGGACTTGACTAGGACTTCTGCTTTAAATGGGAACCATTCTTAAGGCCATGGGAATAAAGGAGCTACCCAGAGTAACAAAATCCAGGGGAGCCTGGTATGTTACCGATTCTTGTCCTGGCTTGTGTCCTTGGAGCCCACAGGCTTCATGCCTCTCAGGGTGGCGAATGCCTACATGAATCTCGACAGCAGGCCGTGCGGCCAAATCCCTTTACTTACTGCAGCATCGCGTTGTGCTTAGTCAGCTCCCTCTCCGAAGTCTCCTTGCAGAATTGACATCCCTTCCTTCTGATTCTTCTCACGTTCCACCCTGAGCCACTGGGAGCCTTATGTAAGGTCGCACCACATGAGATCACCATTTGGGGAGAATGGTCAGACATCAGCAGTTTGACCAAGAATCATTGTCTTTGGGTAGGCTTCCAAGAACAGCACACAGTGAGCGTCATATGTGAGTGAGCATCCTATGTGAGTGAGTATCACATGTACTGCTGTGGCTAGATGCTTTAAATCCCTTCCTGATAACTCTTCTGCTGTTTGGGTTATTTTCAAGCTGGAAAAAAAATTCTCAACTTCGGATAGCGTTCACACTCTGACTCAGGATTTCTTTAGCAGCTGGCTTTATAACAGATATAAAAAGATGAAAAACAGGGCTGACAGGACTTCCTGTTGTTTCTGTTTGCAGTGAGCTAACATGTAGCGGCTCAGCCCATGCCATAGTCCCTGCCACCATCCAAGGACAGATCAGAGTCTTTCCTGGCAATCTGGGCTGCATGGTCTGGCTAGACATTGGGACAAACTTGAGCCTTGAAGTGGCTCACCAGTCCTATTGCTCACCTCTGAACTATGTCTGCTTTCTCTTCTGCCTTTGCTCCTGACATCTCTGTTTCCATTTGCAGAATTACCTCCGAGTTGCCTTCCAAGAGGTCAACAGTGGATGCACCGGGAAGACCCTCCTTGTGAGACCGTACATCACCACAGAGGATGTGTGTCAGCTCTGTGCTGAGAAGTTTAAGGTGGAGGACCCGGAGGAGTACAGCCTCTTTCTCTTTGTTGATGAAACATGGCAGCAGTTGGCAGAGGACACGTATCCTCAAAAGATCAAGGCTGAGCTGCATAGCCGGCCTCAGCCCCACATCTTTCACTTTGTCTACAGGCGAATCAAGAGTGACCCTTATGGTGTGATTTTCCAGAATGGGGAAGACCTCACTCCTTTATAGAGGACACACAGGCTTCCCATTAACACCTCTAAAGTGGAGCTAGGCATCTGGCCTTCTGGCTGCCACATGGTTGAGCTTGGAAGACAGCTGCCTCTTCAAGGCCCCTCAGTTCAGTGACAGCCATCTATCTGTAGGCTGGCTTGGCCAAGGGCATCTTTTGGACACATTGTCCAAATGAAGTAGCTGAGGTTTGTGAAATACTAAGATTCTCCTCCAGAAATGTATTTGATGGTTCAGGTGTCCTGAGATCACTGGCTTCTTAGCCAGCTTCTGGGTTGGCTTACATGTATGTATATGTGCTGAGAAACATGTTAAGGTACAGACTCGTCTCTTGGATTCGATAGCAGGTGTTGACAAGACTGTCTGACGCAGCGCGTCAGGTACCTCTCAGCTCCGTGGGTGGCTCCAAGCTCCCCCTTTCCCTTTTTTCCTCCATCCTGCATTCTACACTTTTTTTTTAAAAAGAGCCTTTTGTGTTTTTATATATTTCATAGAAAATTCTATAGCAGTTGCAGGTAAACTGTCAGGATTGGTTTTTAAAATATTTTTGTAACTTTTAAAATATTCTTATAAGTATGCATGTGACTTAACATTTAATATTTGAAGATAAATCTCTTGCTGGATTTGAGAGTACTGCCTTTTAGATGTCTCTTAGACATCTCTCCTCTGTAACTGGATGTTTCAGCAAATTTGGGGAGAGACTTCCGGTTGTCTTAAAGCAACCGCCCCTGACGCTGGCCACAGGCTGCCTTTGAAAAATCAGATGTACTGTTCTATTGGTCACCGTTGGTGGTGGTGTACTGTTTGCTATTTGTTTATATTTTTTAAGCAATTGATGCTGAGAATTAGGAGAAGAGAAACGAATGTAGAGAAAGGTAGAGAGAGAAAAACATAGACTCTAAGGAGGACTGAGGAATGTAGTCTGCAGGTTCAGGCTCTTCAGAAGACACAGGAGAAGGGGTCAAGACTGTAAGTACGTGCTGCAGTGAGCTTTGACAAAGATCTGGGCCATATGCTATCTGCTTTGGGAAACAGTTTTAAGAATCCCCACAAGGAAAAATAAACCAAGGATAACGCTCCCAAGGCCCCATTTTGTAAGCCAGAACTAATGGCAGCCCATTATTTGGAGGCAGAAACCAAGTTATAAAATATGGCTTCTGCTGAGTTCAGCAAGATAGTGATTTAAAAAAAAAAAAAAAGTACCAAAAGCAAATAAAAAACAAACCAAAAACAAAAAAAAACAAAAACCCTCTTTTGATATAAGAATGGACATTGGTTCAGTGGTAGAGCTGGCGGGCACGAACTAGCATGCTGGGTTCCAGCCTCAGCATGACAAATATGAGCAAAACAAAACAAGCAGAAAATGTGATGTGTGGTGTAGAAAATGAGTTTCTGGGCACACAGACTCTAGAACGGTCATGTATCGGTGCCACACAGGTCCTTGCCAAACCAAGCGCCATTTTCCTGTACTGTGTAAGGGTGCACTGGCGTCTGATTCAGGGGCCTTGCTCCTTGTACTTTTGGCTTTTGTTGTACTAGAACCCTCGGCACATACTGTGTTGTACTTTCTTTTGTAAATGATTTTCAATGGAATTTTGCACATAATACATTGTAATACTGTACAATAATCCCGTGTAAAATAATTTTTGCAATATTCTTCAGTTGTCTTTGTTTGTCTTGTTGGTGATGGTGATTTGTTTTATAGTCAGAATGCGATCAGGCATGCAAAGATGCTGTGTGATTGTACCTGTCAGTGGCTAGGCTCGGTGGCCGTGCCTTTTACCGTAGCGCTTGGAGGTGGGTCTCTGTGAGTTCCAGGCCCACCTGGGCTACATAGTGAGACAGTTGCCCACATTGTGCACTTGCGTGAACACACACACATACACACGCACATGCACACACACATAGTATACACAGTAAATGTCACATTGAGTTGGTAGTTGTGAAGAGCAAACAACATTGTTCAGAAATTTGTGGACGGATGGAAGAGAAATTAAGCAGCAGGAAGAGAGAACAGATGGACTGTGATCTAGTAAGTGTTTGCAGAATTACCCAGCACAGTACTCGGCTTAGATGGCTCCAAAGCAAATCACAGCTAATCTGAGCTCAGAGCCAGGCGGGCCGCAGACGGCTCCTCCCTGTCCCGAGGCAGCCTCTGCAGCGCCCTGGCGAAGAGTTCAAGATGATTGCAAAACCAGGGGCACAGGCCTGCTCTTCTGCTGAGCGGTGTTCTGGCGATTGCAGCAGCCACGCCTGACTGCTGAGCGCTCGTCGCATCCCGGGTGACAGAGAGAAGGGAAGTTCAGAGGGTTTCTGGGACATCTGGAAGATAGCTACCTAGAGACCGGAAGGAGGGCTGAAGGAGCTTGCCTTTGATATTTGGAGGGAAGAGCTGCAGCTCCTTACCTCTGTACAGCTGCCCACCCAACTCCGCAAACTTAGACCATGAGGCTGCCGTTTTGTGCTGAGATTAAAAGCAGGTCACGACGTCTGAATTAGGCAGTTTGAGCAGGCCTCGTGAGAGCAGAATAAGAAAAGCAAGAATGAGCAGAGGAAAACATCACAAGACTTCGCCTGGTTTGTCATTGGGCAATGCTTCCCTGGCGGAGTTTCAACACATGTGTCTTCATTTTTCCCCCCACGCAGGCATTTCTCACTTCTCAGTTTGCCAGGAAACAGACCCTGGTGGAGTTTGGATAGAAAAAGAGCAGAGTAAAAATATACATGCTGGGTGGAGGGAGAGAGAGTGTACTTCCAAATCTAAAAATATCTTGAACAGCAGCCAGAGGAAGGGATCTTATGTTTGATGTTGGACATCCTGCCAAATGTGACCCCCGTTAGGGACACAGGGGAAGAATGGAAATTGTTAAAGTCGTTTGTATCATGTGGAAGTTGCTTTAGAACTACCAGCAAGTGGAAAAGGCAGGAAGCTGGGCCTTACTGCTTCCATTCATAAATGTGCTCTCAGGTCCCTAGCAGTTCTGACCTTCCTCTTCTGGAAGAAATATGAAATAAGTGGGACCTATGGTGTTTAATAGCCTGCTTTTACTCCCAAATGTTGGTGAAAACTGACACAGGAAGGGATCCATCTACATGGGACATGAGTTGTAATTGCCCAGCCATGTCTGAGAACTAAATTGAGACTCTCTTTGGTTTTTTAGATCATTTGCATATGGGTAAACTTGAGACCCAAAATGTCCTTTTCCATTTGGAGCTCCTCCCTAAGTCATATTACAGTGCAGAATCACAGCAGATGATGGGAAAGAAGAGGGCGGAGAGAGCTGGCATTTGTTTCGGGAAACAGGTTCTGTTTTGAAAAGGGTCTATGTTTTAGCATCAAAGAATGGGTAGCAGCTGGTCCAAAGTGACTTTGCTGGGAAAGGAACCATGGGGAGTTGAAAAAAAAAAGAATGAGAAAAAGAAAAAAGAAAGACAAGAAGGAAAGAAGAAAGGAAGAGAGAAAAAGAAAGGAAAGCATATTCAAAGTTGGGAGTGTAGTTCAGTAATACAGTGCTGGCCTAGCACACTCTTGGTCCTGTGTTTGACACCCAGCATGAAGTGCACATACACACCTACCCTCCCACACACACCCACACAGATTGGAAGGGTAGCAGTACTCCTCATTTTACTCTTTTGTTGTTGCTGTTGTTTGATGTTTAAGACAAGTTTCACTATGCAGCCGAAAACTGGCTGTGAACTTGCAACTTGTGATCTTCCTGTCTGGCTGTTGGGTCAGTTGGTCAAAGATTTTGTTTTGTTTTGTTTTGTTTTGTTTTGTTTTGTTTTGTTTTGTTTTCCTTCAGATTAGGAGATAGAACCCAGACTAGACAAATGCTTCAGTACTGAGCCTTACCCCTACTCCTGGGTGGTGTTCTCTTCTTGTTTTGAGATAGGGTCTCATGTAGTCCAGAGTGCTCTCGAGCTCCCTGTAAAGCCAAGTATGACCTTGAATTCCTGATCCTGAGTGCTGGGAACACAGGCATGTGAGGCCAAGCTCAGCTAGTGGGCCAGTACTCTTATGAAGGGGACAGCCAAGGTTTTCCCTAAGGATTCTCAAAGGAAAATCTCCAAGTAGACTGAAGTGTGTAGGGGGCTGGCGACAGCTCCTTTTCAGGAGTCTAATAAGAATTTGCACCCAAAAGCAGAATTTTACAAAAAATGTTTAATAAAAGAAAACATTTAATTGGGCTTACGGTTTCAAAGGCTTAAAGTCCATGATGGCAAAGCAAAGGAATAACAGAACACTGGAGAACGCACATCTCAAACAATAAAAAAGAGGCAGAGAGCACACTGGGAATGGCATGAGCCTTCTTAAACTTCAAATCCTGACACACCACCTCTAACAAGGACACACAGTTCCACAAACTGGAGAGCAAATATCCAAATACATGAGCCTATGGAGGTCATTGAATTCAAATTACCAGAATTCTCTCCTTGGCTCCCTTAGGCTCATGGCCATATTGTGGTGCAAAATGTACTCAGTCCTACTTTAAGAGTCCCATCGTCTTTTAGAGTCTCAGAACCAAGTCTCTCCTGAGACCCACAGCAGTCTCTTATTTATTACCCCTATAAAATAAACAAGGCAGATGGCATCAACAACAATGATGCAGAATGTAAATTATCACCCCAAAGGTAGGCAATGGACAGAGTAGCTAAGTGATGGACCAAAGCAGGAACTAAACCCAGCGGAATAAACTACAAAGCTGGTAGCTCCATGTCTGGTGTCACAGAGATCAGATGGCTCTGCCCCCCCCAGCTTTTCTCCCTGAAAGATGAATCTTTCTCTTGGGCTCGTTACCCTTTCTGTGTGCAGCTCCGCTTGGCAGTTCTCCCATGCCTCTGGAACTTCTAACATCTTAGAGTCACCAATGTAATTCATGCTTCACTTTGACTGCCTGGCCTTGGGGACTTTCTTAATCTTCATAAAAGCTTTCCACAACCCATTCACTCATACATCCTTTGTGTCTTTAGAGCCCAGAGCCATGCAGGCATTTTGGCAAAGTGAAGCTGCCTTCCTGGCTTCCTTGACTCTCATTTGCAGCAGCTTTGATTTGTTGTTGGTTTGTAGAAACAGAAAATGCCTTATGCCTTTTCTTTTCAAAGTTTGGGAGCTAAGGGCATCCCTCCCTTTACTCCTCCTAGGGATCAGATTTCTCTTTATCTCTTTCACCACAAACCTTGCTCTTTTCTCGTTCAACTATACATTCCTCATTTCGTTCTTTCCCATTTGCTCTTCTTTATTGTAGACCTAAATAAGAATGATTACTAGTAACCTCAGGTCAGACTCTGTATTAGGTTGTCTTAAAATATGTTTCACTAAAGAAATTATTCTGTTGCTTCTCAATTTAGCCTTAGACAAATTCTTAGGACAAGAACAGAAGGCAACCACAATCTTTGCCAAATTATTACAGGAGTGGTCTTTAACCAAATTGCTGTTAGAGTCTTTGTTTCCCTCTGAAGCCTCTTGAGCCGACTCTCCACAGCCCACATAGCTTTCACACTACCATATTCCAAATTCCAAGTAGGATGGCCCATTAAACTCTATCTAGATCATTCAATGCCTCCCTTGTCCAAAGTCTCAAGATCCTCTACATTCCTCCAGAAGAATGTAAAGTTGAGAGGTGGACATGGAGGATATTGGAGAAACTGAAAGGCAAAGGGAGTTTAATATGAAAGGAGAGTTTAATATGAAAGGAGTTTAATATAAAGGGAGTTTAAATACGTTGTATAAAAATAAATAAAATAAACATCTTAAAGGTAAAAAAATGGCATTGGGATTTTGATGGACATTGAACTGAATCTATATATTAATATTTTTTTATTAAATAGCTCTTTAAGCAACATTAAGTATATGACTCAGAGACGTCTTCTAATTTAATTTTTTGAGTGTTTTAAAGTTTTCATTGCAGATGTCTTTTGTTTTTGGTTAGATCTACTGCAAGGCTTGGTGTTTTCAGTTGGTTGGATGGCTTTGTTGTGGTTTCACAGGCAATTGTTAATTAGATTGTCCCCCTAATTTCCCTCAGCTTTTGTTTCATTGGTATATAGGAATGCTGCTGATTTCTTTGTTAATTTTGTATTTTACCACTTTGATTAAAGTAGTTTTCAGTTTAAGAGTTTTCTGGTGGAGTCTTTAGGGCCTCTTTAGGAGGTAGACTCATATCATCTCCAAATAAATATACTTTTACCTCTTCCAAAAAAAAATACATTGTATACATCTATGAAATTATCAAAGAAGAGATAAACAAAAAACTTAAATGTGAAGTCTGTTGAGGAATGGTACGTGAGCAAGTTTAAAGCTGTGAGCAAGGGGAGTGCAGATGACCAAGTCTCTGGGACTGTTAAAGGGATTAATTTCAGTAAATAGAAACCACTTGCTCTGTAGTAGGTCAATTAAAAAAGGCACCCCAGAGGAAGAACCCACCATCAAAGGCACAAAAATGTGAAAAGTCAAACTCCTTGGACAGGAGAGAGACTGAGCTAAGAATTCCAAATGGGGTTTCATACTCTTAGAAAGCAATTGCCTAGGGAAGCACATGGAGCACACAGCAGCTGATGTAACTGTGGTCTAAGAGTACAGGTTCCACTAAATGAAACTTGATAGCATTGCCTGGTACTGGTTTTTGTTTTGGTTTGTTTTCAGGTATGAGAAACAT